TGGGAAACGTGCGTCCCCTGGGACGGGAGACCTCGGAAGGCACTGGGCCACAGTCTGGCCCATAGTTGGTTCTTGCTGCCCATCCAGGGACTTCCTCTCTCCTCTCTGCCATTCCCTCTCTGCTGAGATTCTTTGGTCTCTGCCTTAGAAATAGCTTTGGCAGATGGTTCCAGAAAAATGGCGACTCTGTCACCTGGGAAGAATAGAAATTTTGATTTTTTTCCTGTCCCACACTTCTCAGGTCTGTTTAGGATCTGAGCTCAAACTCACAGGGTCAGAGTTCCACATAAGGCTCTCTTTGCCCCACCTAGAACTTAATACGTTATTGGTTCTGACCACAAATGCTCTCTGGCTTTGGGGTGTGTAAAACATTCATGCATCTGACACCTTCTTTTAGTTTCACAAGGTTTTCAAACTCCACTTCCCTGTCCAGCGGGCCTTTTTCTTTGGGGCTTTTGATCCAGTATCACTCAGCCAGGAAGGTTATAAATCGGCCATTTCCTGGGGGAGGGGAGTTGACTTGGCTCTGACTCGTTTTTTCTTTGTTTTGTTTTTCGAGATAGGGTTTTTTTTTTTTTTTTTTTCCCCGTGTAGCCAGGCTGGCCTCGAACAGGGATCTGCCTGTCTCTGGTTGCTGGGATTGAAGACCGCACGCCCAGCTTGTCTCAGGACTCTTAGCTGAGTTTCCCCTATCTTCACCTCCAATATTCATTCATTCATTCATTCATTTTTTTTTTTTTTGGAGCCTAACCTGGCACTCGCTCTGGAGACCAGGCTGGCCTCGAACTCACAGAGATCCTCCTGCCTCTGCCTCCCGAGTGCTGGGATTAAAGGAGTGCATCACCACTGCCCGGCACCTCCAATGTTCTTATGGATTGAGCCAAGTCTGAAAACCAGGAAACCCCTGGTTTTGCAACAAAGACAACCTCTAAAGGTTGTCATTTTAGAAATGAACGGAATTATGCTAAAAGAAAACCACTATGTTTGTTGGCATGGATGGCGGTTACTTGGAATAGAGCATTCGCTTTAAGAATAGAGGGAACGTTCTCCAGCCCTGCTCAATTATTCTTAATTTTTGCTCCCATCTTGGGCTTACTTTTTAATTTCTCCATACATGGGGGCTACGTTTGCTAGTTGGAAGAAGGAATTAGAGATGCTGGCGCTGCGCTGTAGCGGGCTGCAGGGGAGATCAAAGGAGATTCCACAGTGGAAGGCTCCCCAGCGTTGTAGATCTAAGTAGGGTGGGGGCTGGGGAACTGGTGGAGCCTTTCTTAGCTGTCCAATCCTTTCCCAGCCAGCATTCTTTAATCATGTTTCTCTTGCTTGGCAGAGGGCGCCAAAGGCGACGCGCTGGCGGCCAGCTCCAAGCCAACCAGGCCCATAGCGTCCGCAGGAACCTGTCCCTTTAGACCCGGCACTGGACGCGGAGCTTCGAAGAGGATCTGGCTGCGAGCGGATTCAACGCCAGGGCGCCGCCTAGAGGTCGGTCGAGTGTTCGGTCTCGCTCCTTAACCGACCACACAGTTGCTTGTCCAAGCCACATTGCCAGATTGCAAAAACAAAACAAAATTCCAGCTTGGATCAGGGATTTGGCTTCTGGCATTCTTGAGTTGTTAGAAATTGCCCCCTCTCTATTCCATAATGAACCTTGGGAAGAGAAAGGGACCAGGAATTTCTAAGAAATATTTATCCTTGTGACTCTAAGTGAAAGAGTTTCAACATGTCAGTTCCTTTTAAGGATCTTAGATTCTGTGTCTGTATCTGCACTGCTTCTTCTCACTACCCATATTGCCCAGCCTCAGCTCCTTCTTCATGTCAGGACTATGCTTTTAACTTCTGGAAGAAAAAAAAAAGAGCTGTGGAAAGTTACTCTTTCCTCTTATAGCTTGGCTATAGGATTTCTAAATAATTTGGAGATGGATGTGTTTTGGGAAAAAATGGAAAACATCTGAGGGGTAATAGGAAGAATTGTCCAAATAGCATTTACTTAGTCATCTCCACTAGTGTCCCAGCAACAGTCAGAGGGGTACTTGAAAGGCACCAGTAGCCCTGCCCAGGGGAGTCTGTGCTGAGGTAAGGGTGACCTTGGAAGAAAACAGCTTAGCATCTGGGAAACAGATTTGAGGTGTCCTTTGGGTCCATGCAGGTTTCTTTTTGAAACTGAGATCAATGGCCTGAGTTCTGGAGCTGAGAGTAGGGGAAGCTGCTCAGTCTCTGAAAATGCACAAAGAGTGTGTTTGCACAGTCTTGCTGTGCTAAGGCTGTAGCCTCTTCCAGTTTCCCAGAGAACCTCTTTTCTCAGCCATGGGGCTACAGAGACCAGGTCAACAGTGGGCTGGGAGCCAGCACACTACCCTTCCGCTATGGTGTCCCTGATCAGGCAGCTCTATTGGAGATAGAAAAATAATACTTCAAAGTATCCCGAGAACCACTGGCCTCTCTGTCTCCTTCCTCCCTCTATGTCTTCCAGAGGGAAATGCGAATAGAAGGTGTGGTAGGCAGGGCAGCCGACCTACACAGTGTTTTCAATAGAAATGGACTGAAACAAGGAGTGTGGACTGAAACAAGGAGTACAGAGTGGAGTATATAATGCGTAGAGCTGGAGGGGCCTCCCCATGTCATCTTCGGGAAAACAAATATTTGATAAATATAAGGTACTTCCTGTCCCACACATTCCTCCCACTTAGTGCCAGGAAGCTCCATAGGGCACACCATGCCACCATACTGCTGCTCACCCCTTGCCAATCTTGGGCAGTATGGGGCAGTCAATTCAGCTGTTCAGATTTTTTTTTTAAATGATGGGAAACAATTTGATATTCTGAGCCCATCTTAAAATTTTCATTAAAGAAAAAAATCTCCAGCAGAGCTTTGGCAGCATTTCCTGGAGGGAGGAAATGAGTTGGCTGGGTCGGGGCTGCACCTGTGTGTCTGTGGGGCAGGATACCCCTCCTGGGCCTGCAGCTGAGCATCAGCCCAGTACCTGAGCAGAGCCTGAGGTGATCTCAGCCTTTCAAGTGTATTTTAGACCTGAAGCATTGGTGTTTGTTGATGAATAATTGGGATACATGGACTCCCTTTGCTGCCTCCCTAAATTACCTAACCATGTACTCTGGGTAGAGAAAGAGGGTAATTAGCCACTACCGTGACTCCTGGTTTTCTGGAGTCCCTGGAGAAAGGGTTCTCCCCTTTTCTAGTTAGTTTTGCTGCAGTGCCCTGGTAGCAAATCCGGATTCCACGAAATTTTGAAAACAAAAATAGCAAAAGAGCAGTGGCAAGTTGAGGTCTACTTAGTGGTTATTTTGAATTGGTTTTGAAGCTTTTAAAAGAGCAGAAAAGAAGAAGCAAGCAGTGAAAGTCGGGGAGACTAGACATCACTAGAAGTGTGCATGGTCACTTCTGCCCTCTACACAAGCAAGGAGGCTCCGAGGGTTTCTCCTCTGGAGCCCGGCACTGCTCAGCTCCTATCAGGCCTTGAGAGTTTCCCAAGTCTTATCCCCTGTCCTAAGCTAGCAAGTACCTGGCAATAAACAGGCGGGGCTAGGCAAAGGTCTGGAATCTCCAGAGCAAAACAACAACAACAACAACAAAAACCCTAAAACCCGCATCAAGCAGACAGACAGCACAGGGAGTGAGTGACACGGGACTGGGCTTGTTGCGAGGAGTTCAGGGCGCCTAGCTCTGCCTAAGCAGGTTGCTAGGAGCTGCATCCAGAGCCCTTGCCTGTGCTCTGGGCTCTACAGGCCCAGGTTAGGCGTTGGCTTCCAGTTCTGGCCACGGGATAGAGAGAAGGGCACCAGGGAGACTTCTCTCCACGCGGACAGAGTCTGTGCAAGCTCCTTCGCCTCATAAATTGTTTCCTTTCCCTTTTATCCGCCCCTGGCCGTGTTTCTTTTTAGGACAAGAGGGGATATAAACTGTTTGAAGTTCATCAGCACGGTGAAGTTTTATTGTATTTCCGGTCCCCAAGATTTACGCCCTCCCCGGAGGGGAAACCGGCAGCCAGGCAGACTCCCTTCTTACCTCCGACTTCCATGCCCGACACGAAGCCACGCGGACACTTGCCTTCGGGCACAGGGAGGGAGGGAGCCGGGTCCGGCTGGCTCTCTGGCACACCCGGTGCGGCAGCCTCACTGGCTCAAGTAAGTTTCCGAGAAGCCTCCGTCGGTTGTGGTGGCGTCAGGGTTTGGGCGTCAGCTGCGGGATGTGCTGCCTGAGCACCTGTGAGGATGTGGCCCTCTACACATGTGGAGAAGAGTAGGAAACAAGGATGCACTTGCAGACTCGAGGACAAGCAGGAAGCAAACATGTCCTCTGTCTGCCCAAGCTAGGTTCTCAACATCTCCCTTCTTTGGGTTGATCAGCCTCTGTGAAGTCAGGGCCCTAGCATATTTCAGCAGAGCGACTGTTTAAGCCAGCCTACTCCCTCTTCCAGCCTTACTGTTTGTGCCTTTAGAATTCCGGATTCTTTCTGACTCTGACTTTCTCTGTCACTTTTTTTTTTCTCTCAGTTCTACTTGGCTCTGCTCTCCTGCCTACTCCCCGTCTCAAGGCTGGGCTTGGTGCACAGTTGGAAGATTTTTGACCTCTCAGAGCTGCCTGGGAGTCTGGGTAAGCCTGGAGCCCAGGGACTGGCCAGATGGTGAGTGTATGTGAACCTTTCTAGCAGTTTGAAGTCAAGAACCCTTTTCATCTGGGTAGCCCTCCAGCCGCTGTTGGTCTGGGCTGAGAAATCAAGCAGGTATCGCACAGAGGCCTTGGCCAGGCTTAGAGCTGGGTCCAGGGCCTTCGTTGGCCAGGGTTCTGGAAGGAGAACCGAAGTTCCTGGAATCCTGGGTCCAGTTCTTCAGATTCCTTGTTTACTAGCGACTGGGCTCTGTTAGGAAAAAGTAGAAGAAAAAAAGTTAAATAGAGGAAGTAAGTTTGTGGCCATTTTGGCCCACAGGAGGGCCTTAGGAACCCGCCCCAGTGAGCCCTTGACTTGGAGCTTGAACTGGGACTGCTGAGTGAATTAGGTAGTTTCGTGTTGTTGGGCCTGGCTTTCTGAACACAACGACATCCAACCACCTGATTCACGGCAGTTACTGCTTCTCGCTTAGCTGGAGGGGGTCTGACCGGGTCTTTCAGGACTGGCCTGTGACTTTTGCAAAAATAAGAAACGGGTTTGAAGTCCTTCATCTGGGAACAGCCATAGAAGTTCCTCAAGAAGAAACCTGGGGAGTTCTAAGGTGTCTCTTTGCTTGGGGGGGGAGGGGCAGGGGCTGAGTGAGCTCGTTTCAAAAGTCAGGGATTGAAGGGTTTCCAGTTATAGGCACCTCCATACAGCCAGACCTTTCCTAAAATTTTCCTCAGCTGCACTGATTTGGTTTGTAATCTTTGAATGATGGAGACTTTACCTCAGCAAAGGTTTGAAACTCCTCTAAGGGGCCAGTAGGTCCCTACTGACAGAGAAATATCAGGACCATCTGCAATCTCCAGTCTGGAGGCCCTCAGAGTCCCTCCTAGGGCCCTCTAGTGGGACAGGACTTCTAGAGGTGGTGTGGGTATAGGGGACATTCCTTGCCCAAACTGTAGCTGGCCTTCTGCCCAAACTGCCTGAACTGGCCTGTGGGTTCACACAAGTCCTGAGGGCCCCTTGGCCCCAGCTAGCCGGAGAAGCTAAACTATGAGAGAACTCAGCACTGCCTGGTGTAATGATGAGGCTGGAGCCTGGACAGGACAAGGCATTTTCATCCTCTCTGACCCCAGCCCTTCAAGGCTCCTGCTGGCTCTGTGCCCAGGAAAGGAGTTCTTAGGAGCGCTGGTGGAAGGAAGACTTGCCAATGCATAGACTAACTTTTGTTCCTAAACTCTTTCCCTGCTCCAGGCAGAGGAAATGTGCAAAGGGGCCCAGGAAGGAGGCCCCAACCGGATGGGACTTGGCGCCAGGCTTATTTAGATGGTGGGGTGGGGGTGGGGGGTTTGAACAAGAGGCAGAGGGCGTGAGACACCCACTCCCAGAACAGAAGATATTCTGGCTTTAAGTCACTGTCCTGATGAGGAAAGGCCCTAACTCTGTCCTTTATCATTTTCTTCCCCTGTGGGCCAAAAGGGTCTGGAATGTTCCAGCCTTACCTTGCTTCTCTCTGGAATTCTTAGAGACCTGCCCGGGCACTAGGAACAAGACCATATTCCACCCCTTGACTCCCCACCCTGGCCACCTCCTCCCAGGAAAGGCGCTGTAAAAAAAAAAAAAAAGAAGAAGAAAAAGAAAGAAAGAAAGAAAAGAAAAAAGGGGGATGTTAGAGAGAAAGGAGAAAATAAAGTCTTTGGAAAGCAGAGAGTTTTACAACAGCCAAAGGTTTTATGGAAGCAATTGTGTAATGGCTTTCTACCTGCTCAACCCTTTCTGTTCTGCCTGCTGCCTACCCCGTTTGGCCTCCTCGGTGCCTAATCCCAAAGGACTCTACCACCTCCCACTGTCTTGGATAGCCACGGTGGCTGAGAGCTGGGAAGAAGAGTCATCAGGTCCAGTGGGGCCACTGACCTCTGACATCCTATGAGGGAAGTTTGTCAGAGGTTACCTTCCAATTAAGGTCTCTGCTTGGGGCTGTGAAAGCACCCAGGTTTGAGCCCCTGTGTACAGATTGGTGACCTCTGTTTGAAGGCTGTTTTGGACAAAGGGTGTGGGTTCTGGGATCTTGGCTTCCCCTCCAGTGTCTAAGGGAACAACTATCTTCAAAAGTCACTGTATCCCAGAGTAGGTTGGGCTCTAACCCTGGGGGTCAGAAGATATGTCTCCCATGTTGGGGGACAGAGACAGGGGACTTGAACAATTTGGTTGTATGCAGCAGTGTTTGGGTAAGCCCTCCACAGTTACCTGAGGACTGTCACGCTCCATTTGTCTACTTTTCCTTACACTTGTGTTAGACACAAGTGATGGTATTTCCACCCCTATGTCCATCACTGCCATGAAATAAGTGTCACACAGCGCACTCTGTCCCTGCCGGTTGGGGCAAGATACGCAGTAAAGGATTTCATGGTTGGATGACAAAAGTCACCAAATTTCACGACCCCTTCTGGGTCAGTTGGAGGCATTTCTTTCACTGTCCAGGAATATGTTCCAGTAGGACACTGTAATTGAATCCAGCTTAAAGTCACACACATTTATTTGAAGATGTAATGCGAATTTTGGTTGAATACTAAATTCAGAGACAAGATTTCAAGCAAGACTTCCATATCAGTTAATATTTTATAACCAAAATTTAGGAGCACAAATATCCAGGATTTTGTCTTCTTCATAGGTGTGTTTTGGTTTTTGTTATTCATTTGTTTGTTTTTTTCCAATGTGCATGCCAGCTTTGGGGTCATATTTTTAAAATCAGGAACAGAATCACCATTAAGCTACATTATTCTCAGGGGTCATGCATATAACCACTTATACACAATTAGATCATAAATGTCTGTACCCAGGCACATCTAGGATTACAGTTGGGAAGGTACTTACATGTACTGTACAAATATGGAACAGAGCATATTTGAACACTAGGCTCCCCTACAGAAATATTGATTTGAGACAGAAATGCAGGAGAAATACCTGCCTAAATCCAGCTGCATCCATCAACTTCAGCTTTAGCTTATTATTTAAACACAAACTATTTTCTCATTTACTGTTTTCCTTCCCCCACCTGGTCCCTTTTCAACCCCTAGATTTACTCTTGTTACTGGCAGAGATAACACACACACACACACACACACACACACACACACACACACACCAAAGACTGACCCAAAGAACAGGCACTTACCGGCTGGTTCCAGCCTCCTGCTCGTCCTTGGCTGCCAGGGCCCCAGCATGATCAGGGGCTTCTTTCTCCCTGCTTTTTTCCATGATTCCAGCCAAGGCTCCAATGTAAGAAATGACAAGAGGCTGCAGAGAATACAGAATTTTCTTTCTTTCTCTTTAGGATTGGGGGCAGGGTGCTTAGTAGTTTTGCCCTCTGGACAAAGTAACCCCACTGTAGGGTCACTTTTATTAAGTACCTTTAGACTCTGAATCCCAGGGGCCACAATTCTGGGTTCTCTGCTCTGGCATGGTAGGTACTATTGCCTAGGAAGGAAGGACCGAAGATTTAAGGGGTCCAGGGGTTCGCAGAGCATCCCAGCAAGAGGGCACCCACCCTGAAGGCCATTTTGTCATTTGCCTCTGTTGAAGTTGAACTCCAGTTTTGGGCAGCAAACCCTTCTGGGAAGCTTGGCGGCAAGGGTGAGTGAGCCTCCCTGCTTGCTGCTGTTGCAGCTTCACCTGCTGGGTGAGATGGTACAGACTCCAGAGATGAGGGCAAAAGTTCCTTCTCTGCCCTCTGAAATCACGTCTCTAGAGAAGATAGATCCCAAACCTGTCTCCTCCACACTGTTCTTACTCCTCAGCATCTTGAGCAAATACAAAACTGCTTCTGACTCAGAAAGGGGCCCGGGTCTCCTCTTCACCCAACCCTGGGAGCCACCACGGGTTAAGGACACCTCCTTAGGCAGTTAGAATGCACAAATCTAAATTCACTCTGGATTATCTCACTCTGGCAGGGCAAAATCTATGAGCCCAAATGTTCTTTCCCTGACTTTTCCCCTAAACTGAAGGGGTCCCTTGACTCCTCTCTCCTAGTGGAGAGTCTACAGCAAAGCCCAGGAGAGGAGTGGGAGCCAAGAGGGCAGCAGGCAGAGTCCAGAGCCTGCATAGCTTGGGTCTGAAAAACAGCCTTGTTCTATGGCTTTTCCATAAATAAAAATGCCCCAGCCCCACACCTCATGTGTCCTTTTGGGCCCTAATTTATATACTACAGAAAATGATATACCCACCTCGACATGCTTCATAACGCTGTTATTTATGGCGGGGGAGGGGACTTTTTTTTTCTTTTTTTGGCCTGAAGACTGTATTTATTACAGGTAAAACTGGTAGCAGACTCCATACGTCTAGCAAAGCAGGGACAGGTGCTTTGCCCTGAACGTGATTCATTCGCTCCAGGCCCAGCTTCTCGCTGGCAGGTCCAGGAAGCTCCCTTGACTTTCCAAAGCCTCCAACCGCTACTTAGAAGAATTTGCATCAGATTTTTGTTTCCCCATTTGGATACTATGGGAAAAAAAACCCGGGTCTTCATGCTGTTTGGTTCCGGATCTGCTGGGCTGTGTCTCTCCCCAAGAGCGTGGGTGGAATTGAAGGGGCCGGCTGGGCGCCCGCATTGATCTTTAAAAAATCATTTTGAAATCGCTATAATGTGAAGAAATATGGCGCTTCGCCCTCGTATTTCACACGTAATGACACGAGATGGCTTCATTTGGAAAGGCAAGCGGGAGGGAGTGTGTGCGTATGTGGAGATGATCCGCAGCCTTCCACTGGGCAGAGGAGGTAGTGGCCAAAAAGATATAACCCTAAGTTAGAATGGTTCCACTTTTTTTCTGAAAGGAGGGGAAGGTGAGGAGGAGGTCATGGTTCGGGGAGCTGTCTGCCTAATAACGGTCCAGAGTCAGAGAACAGCCAAGAAATCTGTCCCTACACCTAACACGAGAAAACGAAGCCTGTCTAGGAGCTGGTCCTCCCAGAGCCCCACACCCGGGGTCGGGGGTGGGGGAGGCGTCTGCACCCAAGCAGAAGCTGCAGAGACAGTAGCTGGGAGAGCCGCCAGGAAGCCAGCCTGTGGCCTCGGGGGAGTCCCTGCGCAGGGCCGCAGGGCCGCAGAATAGCTGCTAATAAAATGCACTATTTGGAAGCTCCACCAGAGGATTGTAGGGGGGAAGGCTGCGGGTGGGGGACACGGACTGGTTCTGGGGACTCCGCTGTACTTGGTACTGCCCTATGTCGGCATTTGGACATCTTCCAGAGCTGGACAAGTACTAAGAATTTAGCTTGCCTCCTTCCCTTTTTGGATGGAAAAGGAAAGTAACCGGGTGTCGCTTACTGTGCTGTTTGGGGACCCTCTCCCTACCTCTGGAGAGCTCCTTTAATCATTTCTCACATTGGCCTCCTCATCTGGACAGTTTTACGGTCTCAGAGGATTCTGGACGAAGGACAGAAGAAATGGCCGTGGACCCAACCCTTCATAAAGGCCC